AGGAAGACAAGAAAAAATCGACTTTATTTGCAGTTCAATCGGTGGGCACACGATATTTGGAATAATTATGTTTGGGAGTTAATCATTATACTCATAATTTCAAAACAGCTTCTAAACTTTTAACTGACAAATTGCATGATTAATCAAAAGAGAATGTTAGAAGACACAAGATAAGCCAGCCAAAAAATTCTATCACAATTTTGATCAATCAGGTAAAAAGTTGGCAACGAACCGTCTTGACAACTAGACGCGAGCATCGAGGAATGACAATTTTGAAAAGAGGCTATTTGGCCCCATGTGACTATTGCAATTCTTGGGGGCAACTATAATTAAAAACAAACAAATATATCTATACTAGAACCCTCTCTTTTCAAAGCTCTCTTTCTAAATCTATTGACACTGAGTTCATAAACAACCATCGCTTATCTCAACGTCTTGGGAAATTGTTTTGACCTCAATCTGACATTGCTTTAGTCATTGGGCTAACGCAATTCGGTTGTTTAGAGCATAAAATTGCAGACTGGTTTTCATTTGAGCATTTTCTTTTTTCATCTCCACAAAGTTTCGGGTGACTGTGTCACTTTGATAATGGCATTTTCGCCATGCAGGGTTGCTCTCCTTATAAATAAGATGAATCACCCTGTTGCAAAAATCAACAGTTCGATTCTTTTTTTTTTTTTTTTTTTTTATTGCAATAAAATTAGATACCTCCAACCCGTGGGTGTTTGGGGAGAAAAGAAAGACAGTAATTCTGTGGTTATGTGGACATTTGGCCTTACGTTTCAAGTTTATGTTAAAAGAAGCAATCACTCTAAGATGATTGAACAAGATTATGAAGAAACTATGTGATTGTTTAGTTTTAGGCACCTTTCTGACAGGGCGACTCTTGCAGCCAGATTTTCAGTGATAGAGCTATTCGAGTATTCGAACTTCCAACTAGAATATCGCTTAAGGAACAAAATTTGATTTAGCTATTAGCTATACTGCTTAGCGGTTTCCAAATAAAAATCCTGCAGTGTGATAAAACATGGTTCTTATGAATTAGCTTAAACGTTTCATCTGAGTTCTATGGGGTACAACAAAGGGCTGTTACTGAGCTCACGGAATCCCACTGCAGATCGCTTTTAATTTTGTTTCCTCTCTGGTTCAGTTATAGCAAATACTATTTTCAGCTCTGGTACGATTTATATTTTCATTCTGTCAGATGTTTCCCCTCATGTAAACAAATAGATGAGATAATTAAAGGCATCATATTTAAGCATGCAATATGGAATATTTACATTAACTTTGACATTTTTCGCATCAACGAAAATCATATATCAATTCAACAATCTGTCCTTCATACGTGCCTGATCAATAACCTAAAGTTTCATTTCTGCAATTTTCTCTTATAAAAGTCTCAAAATCAACACTTTGCAATATCTTGCTGAGCCGCTGTTTGAACAACTCCACGTCATGCCTGAAGATTAATAGGCTAATGCTAATTTGCTAGTTCTTATTACAGGAATTAAATCTGTTCCTTGAACAACAACAAGTTCAGTACTTTTAATTTGTTCCTTATCCATAACAAAGTGAGAGAAGTACACTCCTTGCTCCGTCTATTATCGTTTGAAATGGACATATACCTTCTCTGCGCCATGTTTTCCATTAACCATAGATCCAATTAACAAATGATGTAAATAATTAACAACAAGCTCCCTTTGATGTACTATAGTCAGTCATAGCGAACGGCATAGCAACTCTCTTGTTATTGTCCGGTGATTTGCAAATACATAAAACGTGACAGAGTGATCTACAGTTTTCCGTGATGTTTTTTACGAAAGACTATTCCTTCCGTCTGTTTACGATTATCCTTTGCGGCGCTTTGTTAAGTTGTATCACAGATGCCAAACAAGGTTAGTAAATTCATTTCATGTGCCGGGTAAAATGTATATTCCCTGTAAAACTGCAAGCCGGTGTCAATATTGATAACAATTGCTGATTTTCTTTGCATTATTACTTTGCTTTTCCCCTTATAACAAAAAGTGAACTCTGGCTTCGTAAAATCGTTTGGTCAATAGCCTGAAAAAAGGAAATATGATCCATTTTTGAAATTGTAATTACATCATTACCTGAGAACGGATGCTACATTACCTTTGCAATTCATTACATCTAGTGATCACTTAATTTTCTTTGTGGAGTTAACCATGAAATTGAAAGTTGATTCTCTCCTTAATCCAGATTGAAAGAAACAACCAATTTCGCGGTTAGAGTATGATTTAAACAGAATGGTGGAGTGTGGGAACGTACATCTTTAATGTTTAGTTATCATTTCGTAGTATCGTACTTAGAAGGAGCTTATTTGATACAAACTTGGTCGACGGCAAGAAAACTGTTGTATTTTCCTTTCGAAGACCTTGAGTGACAAGCAACATCCAATTTTCCCAAAACTGCCAAAATCATCAATAAATTCGATCATTTTTAAAACTTTGAATATTAACACACGGTAGAATGAATTCGTGTAACCCGTTTTTTATATGCTAATAAGAATCACTAAATGATAATGAGAAAAACAATTAAAAAGGCACGCACCAAACTTAAAACCAATGGTACTTTCCATTCGGTGAAAAATTCCGATTTGAATTTCTGGAAATTTCCCTTGACGAATGGAAGAGAATTTTCTGGAATTTAGGAACACAAGACTAACAACCTCGCGAGGTGTATCCAAATTTTCCGGTATTTTCGGTTGAATGGTTCGCTCTGCTGAAATTCAATAATTTCCGCTTTTTCTGGAAAATTTAATTTCCCGGGAAATTTCCGTACCATTCGTCCCCATTTCCAAATTTTGGGAATTTAAGGTTGAATAGAAAAGGAAACTCTCCTAGCGCTTCAAATTCCTAATTGTGAACATTAACTCAAAATAACAAGTTTCCGATACTTGCATGTCGGCGTGCAAGTACCGGCGCGAGTGTTTCTCAGCCACAGGCGTCAGAAAGCCCGCCATATAATGTAACGTAACATCAAAAAATGGCAAGAATGTTCAAAAGTACTACGCGTATTTCGCGCACCTTCACTATTTTTTCCCTTGCAAAGAATATTCTGGTTCAGATTTTAAACAGTCCAGTATATTCCAACGGCAAAACGAACCCTTGCGTACCCAACCTGGTCATTAGAAAATTATGCGCCTCATTAACATATAAGGAACGGGTTATACGAATTCACTCTAGTATGTATGGAACAACAAGTGAGTGAAGATTTTAGCTCCTTGATAATTATCCCGTATTGTAAAAAAATAAAATAAAATAAAATACAAAAAAATAAGTAATAAACTAGGAGAGTCTTGTTCACATCACATTGCAATACATTTTTGCATTATGTTAATATTAAAGACTATAGTTTTCGAAAAAAAGTGTGTTTATTACCCAGACCATACCTGTTTTGATCCATCATCCCCCATTCTCTTCCCCGAATTTTCTATAAAAAGTCTGTCAGGATTGGCACACAAACCTATTGACCAGTGCAAATATTTTTCAGGTCTGTGTCGATCTCTAAAGTTTACAACACCAGTGGAAGGCTATACCCTTGTTGGTCATGTGATAAAAAACCTCTCTATTGGAATGCACGCCTCCTGTGAGAACCTATGCACAATGGAAAGCCAGTGCGTCTCGATTAACATTGGCCCACCGATTAACGACAAAATGGTTTGTGAGCTCAGCAACTCTGATGATAAAAGGCATTCTGAAGATCTTAAAACAAAAGAGGGATTTATGTACAGGGCTACACAGGTGAGAAATTCAAACCTGGTACTTGGCTTTCTTTTAACAGCATCACCACCACCACCACCAACAACAACACCAAATGTGTCAATATGTGTTTGTGATCGGCTGTTTGTTTACCTCGCCAGAACCCTTGTTACAGTGACCCTTGCACGCATAATGGCATATGTTTGAATGGTTTTACAAACAAGGGATATCTATGCGAATGTAACGTTGGTTATGCCGGAGAAAACTGCGAGAAAGGTAAAGGAAAGAAGCAGCAATGTGTAGCATAGATTCCAAGATCTTCTTTAAGTTGTTGTGATAGCAGCCCAAACAAACAGCCATAATGGTCAGAAGCCTACTCACAACAATCCCATTCTTAAGCTTCAATTCAATGGCAAAACATTGACATATCGGCGATAGTTCTGGGTTTGAAATATTTGCGTTATGCATGTTGTTTTCATCTGGTGGTGCTTCTCTTTTTCTGAAGTAGCTGAAAGTCAGATTACAGGTGTTTACGGTTTATTTTATACTAAAATAATTTTTTGACTACAAATCTATTTTTAGCTGTTAATAATTGCGTGGATGCGTTTCCAAGAGCTGGAATTGTCGAGATTCTTAACCGCGGCCTGGATCCATTTCCTGTTTACTGCGATCAAACAAACGACGAAGGAGGTGATTAAGTTTATCCCTTTTTAATCGTGGGTCAGTGTTTCTTACTTTATTGTTGTTGTTGTTGTTTATTCAGTCCAAATTAAGGACATGGAAGAGAAACGGCAAGTGGCAAACGTTTCCGTCTATGTATGATTAATAATATTTAACTTACCTTTCGTCCCGCTACGCTGTGTTACTATTTACGATGTGTGTTATGTTATAATTAATTGCTATGCGGTGTTTTGACGAGTGATGTGCTCTGTTGTGTTGTGCTGTTCTATGCTTAACAAGTTCGGTTAAAACAGTCTGAGTACATAGACAGAAAAAGATGTGGAATGAGAAAAGCTTTCCACTTCTTTGGGTTAAAGATAATAGGTTACAATTATTGGTTCTTTAAACACCAATTATAACCCGTATGCGATATACCCTTTCCATTTGGTGGCATTCTTATAAAACTTTATAATTAAATGAGAGGAATTTGTACATGTGAACAATTTTATTGTGTTTGTGAAGGTTGGACAATGATATTCAAGGCAGTGAGCGGCGTTTCTTCACCAGAAGTGGGTCACTTGTGGAATTCACCCTTGACACTGTCAGAGAATGTTAGTAGTGCCCTTGATATAACTACAACGCATCTGGGACACTACAAGAACCGAATTGTTCTGAACTGGACAACATTTAATCCTCAGGAGGTAAACGTAAGGCTAGCTTATCAAACGGAGCTGTGATAAATCGTAGAACAACTTGAATGTCTCTTGAGCTTTACATAATTATGTTCCTGTTATATCGGTCGATAGCAACTGACATTACTAGTTTCTGTGAGTAACTTAATGATCCTGGTCCTCGAGTCTTCTTTCGATAATAAGCAAGGTTGACGAAACGAGGAACACTCGAGAGTTAAGTTACAGAATTAAATTTGGTCTTTAAAAAACAATGAACGTGACCAAAGGTAACTTAAGTTCGATATTTTCTTAACATATTCCGAACTTTCCAGGGTCGTTCCCCCCCCCCCGACTGCTGTTCTGTTGCCCCTAAGACTTGCAAGATAGGGGGAAGGGGGGGGGGGGAGGAAGTTGCTCATTCATCCTATACCAAGAATTTGACGCGTTTGCTGTGTCAACGTTATTTTTTGACATTGCCATACCAACCGCATACAATTTTTCTGGTATACATTGTATAGTTTAAACCGAAATTCTGCCTTTTTGGATAGAATATAATTCTTCTTTCTTTCAGTGTTCTTGAGCAACATTGCGGAGTAACCTTTTACATTCTGTTATCAGTTTTGGTTAATTCCAATTCACGTATTTCCAAGGTTTTTGAGAAATTAGTGAAATCCAAGACGACCGATCCAAGATGGCGGACTTACTGACATTATGTGACGATAGACAAAGTCATTACCAGCAAAACATATATCCCCTTAATTGTAGATGACGCCGAAGGATATCTGTTTACCACGAAAACCCAGAGAGGTGGTTCTAATCACCCCTTTGTTTCGCGAATGATGTCATTACATTGTGATTTTAGGTTCGTTTAGTGTTGTACGAGAAAGGAAATGAAGTTGTCTCTCTTAAGCTCAATGCTACTGGCACAAACAGGTTAGACTGGTTTTCGCAGGCAAACCTTATTTCGTCTCCATGGAATGACCTCACTACCGCCGCAAACTTACTGTTTTTTGACATGAATGGAGGGTGGAATCGCTCCTTCGAGATTACCAAGTCCTATGGAGGTTGTAATGCTGATGTTGGTTGGTTAGTTATTACCGCTGCTTCTTGCCCTTGGGAAACTCGTGTCGCCATACCAAGTATTCAATACAGCAAGCTGGGAAATGCTGTATTTTGGGAGAATTATGGTAAGTGCAAGGTCTCGTAGTTAACTATTTCTAGTAATGCATGTGACTCTCAGTAGATTCATTACAATTTACTTACAATTTAGTCCTACATTCTACATTGCACACGCGTGCGAGTACAAAGTATCACAGCAGAATGAAGGAAAAGCACAGTTTCGGGCCGAGGAAGCGTTGAAGAAGAACTGATTATTTTGTAACAGTTCATATTTTTTAACTTATTTAGTTTCTTAAACTAAGCACTATTGATGCAGGGAGTTATAACGTCCTCTCCAGAGGCTAATCGCCTCACGAGGTAACAACCCTCTGTTGAAAGTTAACACAAGAACGATGCGGCTAGGAGGAGCATTTTACATTGGAAGGCACATAACTGGCCAAATGTCAGCAGATCTAGGATAGGGCCACACAGCAAAATAAAGTGGAACCTCTTTCCAACGACTGCCTTGGGGACAGTTGTTCTGAAATGACCTTTTCCGGATATTTTTTCTTTCGGGGTCAACAAAAACCTCCGATTACAAAATCACGCCGAACCCACACGGTCGCTGTGAAGAGGTGGCCATTAATTGTTATGAGGTTAAAATAAGAGGAAATTTTTAAATAGATTGCAAAGAGGTATGACTGTACGTTTTTGTGAGACTGGCTCGTGGGAGGATATAAAATTTTCAAATAGATTTATTAATATTACTGTGATAAAGTCCGAGAGTGAACTTATCAAATGCAAATTTCGTTCATTTCGCGCGCCCCCTGTAAATAGAACGAGATACCAGAATACCAGGCATTGTTCATTAATCTGCAAAAATTAAATAAGTTGTTTTAGATCATGATTGAGGTAGTTCAAAGTTAGGTTGTTCTGACTAACGATCCATAAAGTAACCATTTTATACCGTACCGAACTCCAGTTTAAGAAGTCAAGAGCCAGTGATGCATTTATTTTTGTTTGATATTTTAATTTTCCAGGCGATGTTGGTATCGCTGACGTACTAGCCGTTTTTGCCAGATGAAGGCACCAAGAAGGCACATCATCGGTCATTATATCTTATCAAGCACTGTATCAGTTATTTGTGTGCTGATGAGGAGTTCTCTTATATTGGTCAGACCAACAGACGGATAACATGACAATTGCCCATTGCCAAGTTAATTTAATTAAACCTTTAGTCAATTAATATACTCTTTTTCTATATATTATAATAAAATATATTATAAGGCTGAAATCTGCGAAATGTTAAAACCATTTTAAGAATAAACTCAGCTGGGATTTTGAAAAGTATACAATGATTTTTTTTTTAGAAAGACCTTATTGCATGTAGTCTTAACGCCATCAATGTCATGAAAGGACAGATAATCTGACGTTTCATCGCTTTGTGTCCCTTTCTTTAACTTATCTAAGAACTTTCACAAGAAGAATTTCAGCCTAAAATCGGCAGAAGAATAAGAATATTCAGCCTGGGCTGAAAAAACAAACAAACAAATAAACAAACAGACAAACAAACAAACAAAAATAAAACAATTGAATACTTTTACTAAATAAACAGAGTCTAAAACATCTATACTAAAAGGTATATGTTACATTCATTATGAGAGCAGCTATGGTTACTCTTTACCTTTCGAGGTGTCTTACGTACAAGCGATGCAGCGCATCCGGTTTAAACTGTAGATACCTACAACCCGTATCAAATTAAAGCTTATAGAGCTGGCTATCAATCTATACAAAGTATTTTGAAATGAAAGGAATTATCATATTGTTAACGACCTCTAAAAAAAGCGTGTCTGAGACTTGCTATATTAATTTTCAGTGAAAAGTTACAAAAAAAGTTTTGAAATTGGATTCAAAAAATAGGGAATGACCGTAAAAAAATCGCTATCGGAGATTAAATACTTGGAAATAAACAATTCGCAGAGAGATTTTTGTTGCTTATGTGTCAAAATAGCTCCCGTCAAAATTTGAGGGCAAACGAACAAATTACCTTTTGCTCGGAGCTTTCAAAAAGGGACCCAAAAGATGATTGGAACTATCATGTTTAGAGGTCGTGAAAAATTCGACTATTCATTTTATTTCAAAATTGTTGGTATCCTGTGATAGCTGCTTTAGAAGCTTTAATATCGATATCTACAGTTCAAACGCTGCATTGCTAAGTGCAAATATAAGTGTCTGTTATTGAAAGCTTTGCAGCCGTTATTAATTTTACCATTTTGGCATTGTGTAATTAACGGTTGATAGTTTACGTTGAGGTCGAAAGTGAAAGACTGCTTCTTTATTTTTTTCCTTTGGGTTGCAAGGAGGTCTGAATCAAGGGTCTTCCTAAATACATATGAACCAAAACCGCGCTACAGAACACTGTGGACAAGTTTAAAATGGACTAGTTCAACCAAATGTATCGCTTATAAAATTAGCGTTCTCTTCTAGAGGAATTTTTTTTTGGTGTTATTTATAAACGTTTCAGCTGACTTTTGCGTTCTCAACGGATTGACAATAACAATTAATTGGATAGCACAAATATATTATTGGAGAACGTTTACATCTAAGTCACTATTTTGCATGAGCACGATCTTCGTGTCGTTCACCTATTTATCATTATGCAACATTATTATCAATACGCGCGGCCAAATGAGCAATAAGTGCAAAAATATAAAAATACTAAAAATCTACTTACAGCACGGTAGCTTTTTGAATACTATTTAGAAATCTCACTTTAATTAATTTCTCGGGATTAAATTCCCAAGCATCCTCCAGAAGGTTAATGTCAAACCTTGTAAGTGTGCTTAATGCGTGTTTTGTTGTGTTTTCAACTAACGCAAAACTTCTATTCTAATTGAAATATGGAAAACCTCACGTTCAGTTTTCTCTCGCAGGGTCAGCTTGAGAGCTTAATTCTCGATGCGTTTTTCTTACTTTTATTCAAAACATTACCATGCTATGAGGTTTTTTTGGTAACTTTAATTTTGCCATTATTGCTAGAATGTTTACGTGTAAACAAACCATCAGCGAATGTATACTACCATTACTTCTGCAACTCCAACATCAGCTAGAAAAGGAAGAAAAAGTAAAATTATCTTAGCTATTTTTCATATTAGCTCTTTTCACTGACAGAAGTCAGGTACCTGGGTCAACTTTAACCGCTGACAACTTTTTACAGTATTCAATAGAAAGCTGCTAGACTTTGCGACATTATATCAAAATATTACCATAGACGAAGACCAATTTGACGTTATATTTCATTGTACTCGGAAGTTGATGCTAGACTTACAGAGTGAAATTGATGCATGACCTGAGAAATGTTTCCTTAGGTCTTGAATTTTTGGCTTTTAGAAAATAACGTTCACGAAGTAATTTTTACATTTTTAGGACATTAAAGTATTGTATTATTGATTTTGCCTAATTTTTTTTCTTCATTTTTCCTTTCTGACGTTTGGAAAAGATCAAGAAATCCAAGATGACGGATCCAGCATGGCTGTTGTTTTTATTCGTGACGTAATTATCGAGTGATAGAACGCCATAGTCGTATATTGCTCACCTCAAAAGAAATTTAAGTTCTGGACTTACTATAATTTGACCAATACCCATACCCTTCAAGTTTCTTTAACGTTGAACAAAAATATTTTGAATTAACGGAAGGAGTCATGGAAGATAAAAAGACCGGTCCAATGAGTTAAAAGTCTGATCAGTACTTCTTTTATAGCAGCATGGAATCTCATCATGTTTCGCATGGTTGGCATCTTGTACGTACTTCGACAAAGCACGTACTGATGCTCGGAAATAATTATCTAGAACTTTTTCAGTCGATTGTATCTTTCCTTTTGTATTCAACGTTGCGAACCTTTTTCATACCATATTGATTCCAGTTGACAAAGGTATCCAGTTTGCTGTACTGATAAAATACTAGCTTGAGGAAGACGAGTTTCCCAAGGGCAGTTGCCTTTCGGGATCAAAAACCAACCATAGTCTGTCGAACACCCTGTGTAACGGCCGCTGATCTCAAAGATACGGTCAGCACCATTGATGCTAAAGGCCTGTAAGTTTGTTGCAGTTTTTAAATCCGTCCATGGTGATTGAACAAGCTTTTCTTGTGAAAACCAGCTCAATTTGTCTGTCCCTACAGCGTTGAACTTGAGAGAGGCGACTTCCGTTCCACCACTGTACAGCACAACCTTGGCCTACAAATATATAATCACTTATAACAATTTGTGTAATTTAATTATCAGTTACACAACATGTATTAACCAGACTAAATATGTCCGCCTCTCGTAAGACTTTGCGAGTGTAAGGTACCTTAAACCCGGCAGGTGTGAAAAAAAAACAAAAACCAAACAAAAAAAAAACATGAAGCCAATCACAGTCGAAGTCACGACGACACCAGAAAAACCCTCAGTTTAGTCGATTTCATGTAAGGTAAAGTCTGCATATGAGCCAAGTGGCTCATCAGGCCGAGGCTTTTCCCGGTTTCAGTGGCATGATGCGACTAGGGGAATTTCTTTTCTATTTTGACTTCAAACGCCTTACTTTTCATCGTGCCCTTTGTATTACTTGATCATTAGTTTGATTCAAAAGTGCACTGTCTTGCTAATCAAATACTTTGCATCAGAAATAGAAATGTTTTGATTACCCTATTCATTTCTACTTACTTCTTGAGGGTTAAAAGTTTGCCAGTTTTGTACAAAGCGGTTTTTGTAGTGTCCTTGCTGGGCTGAAGTTGTGTCTAGTGCTGCGTCAATGTCTTCAGTCAGAGTGTCGGATGAAGACCACAACTGGTCAATAAGGTGTGAAGTTACTCCTCCAACAACTTTGAATATCATTGTCCAACCTTAACAACAGGAAAAAATAGCATACGCAAATAAATATTTACCTTAAAGAAGAGGAAATTGGCTGTGTATAGCCCGTATTACACAAGGATGTTGGATGCATCGATGACGAAACCACATCCACTCGTAACGTGAGACCCCCCTTATGACAATCATGGGAATCGGATGGATTTCGTATGACCTACTCAAGTAGCATGAAGTATAAAATAAAATTTTCTGGATTAAATTGCTGTTAAGATTGATGTAAATATATGATGTACATGTAGTGCTGAAAAGTGAATTCCGATGATACCGAAATCGATTGTGGTTTAACTTTCTTCTTCTGATCGAATACTACCTTGTCAAATGCTTTTAATGATTGCGATTAATGAGGCTAATCAGGGAACTGAAAGCGCAATTATTAGGAGTTAACAATAAAACATATAAGATACCTCCCCCGTCAGTTAACTGATCACAGTAGACAGGAAATGGCTGAAAACCGTGATTAAAAACTGTGTAAATCCCAGTTGTCTTAGGAGCCTCAGAACAGTCATTAATACCTGAAAAAATAAATTTTAGCAAAATTACATTGACAAACGTAAACGTTTATATGTTAGAAAAGCTTAACCTCCTCGCTATTGTTAAGGGTAGTGTTTATGTAGCTACCATGGCTGGATGGAATGTTGGCCAATCGCATTAAGCCCAATATCATTTTGTTTTCTTTTTTATGCCGACCTATTCTTTCAGGCTAGGAAGGTTCTGTTCATAAAAAGAGATGCTTGAGTTAATGTCATTTCCCTTACCTAATTGACATTTATTTCCATAGTAACCTTGAAAACAAACACATCGGTATCCTCGTTCACCAAACCCTGTTTGACATTCCGCGTGACTCGGGCAAGGGCTGCTTAGACAGGAATTCTGAAATAGATTTTAATTAATAAGGTGTAACCGCGATTACTGAGAGGTTAATTCCTAAACGATCATGTTTAGATCGACTAAGTTTGTATACAGGTTTTCTCTGCTTCTGTAAATCGTGATCTTGATCTTAGAGGGCCACCGTTCATCAGTGTCTACTGTCTCTCTTGGTCTAAAGTGGCTCGATAGGCTCAAAGGTTTGTTTAAATATGGTGAAGGAATATTAATTGCATGTGATTGTACTCATGAGGAGAAAATAATTTTTTAAGGTTTTACTTAAAATGGTTGCTATGGCAACCAGCCACACCCTTTTATGGTTTAAATTTATAGTATTGACGCCAACAGGTCCTGCTCTTTTACAAAACAAGATTTAACTTTCCAGCAAGCTTATCTTGTAAGTTTTTTTTTCGTTCTGTGCAATTAACCAAAGTTGTGACAGCTAACTCTTGTTTTCAGTGCTTGTTATAGGCTTCGTCTGTAAAAACCTTATTTGCACCAAACCCAGTGGACAAATTATCTAGTGTACGTGACAGATCTTAAAATGTTACGATTTTTCTTGGTTGATTGCATCACGATACTATTAGTCTTTGAGTGCTCCAAATTTCAGGAATTTAACTTAAATGCTTTCCATAGTGGAAATTTTGCCGTGATATCAGTTGGTACAAATGTAGACGTTTCTGAAAAGTGCACTTAAAGTTAAACGATGTATTAAGTATTTAACAAGCCAGTAAGTAGGGGTGGAGAGGGAGGGATGGGGGAAGGGGTGGCGTTTGCAGGTTGCTTATCGGGGGAGGGTAATGGTTGTTGTGTTTTGTAAAAAGGTTCCCGCAGTTGTAGGAAATGTTACATTTTGTAAGGGAAATGAATGACCCTGTGATGGTGATTCAGGCAACGCTTGTCACAAGTTGTTGTGCATGTCTTAATAGCTTTTATACAAACTTTCGTTCTTATTTGTTCAAACTGATCTATATTTGTGGTCACTTTCTGACTGTAAAAAACCGTCGCTATGGCCGTTGGTACGCGAGAAAAAAAAAATAATACCATCATTAACTTAATTTCCTTAAATTTTACACTCATCTAGAGGAAAATTCAGCAAGATCGTTTCGAAAAACTTTTTGCAAGTGTTCAAGGGCTTTAATTCTTACATACCTTTTTTTTTTTTTTTCTAAACTGCGTGTATCCAGGCAGTCGTTATCCTGAGAAGCACTAGCTATATTGCAAGTGAGCTAAATGTTATGCATTTGAAGTTGTACGAAATTCAATCGAATCGATGTGCTTAAGCTCTTCTGCTTTTGATTTCATTTCTTGGAATCGATTAATAGCTTATTACTCGTTCTGTAAATTCCATGTGTTGTACACATGCAAAGTTGACGCATGCGCTTTAGAGACCAAACAGCGATTTGTGACTGAACTAGGAAACCAAAAAAAACGAAAAAAACAAAAAAACGGAGCCGAAATTTAAACCCAGGCCTCACTGCCTGGGTAAAAAGATGTTTTTTTCTGAACGTTGTCATTTTTCAGCCTATCGAGCTACCTTAATAAATTAAACATTATAAATAATTATTTTGAAGATGTTATTGAACATAGCTATGCAAGGCCCAGAATCTTTTACGCTATTATATGTCACCGTCTTAAACTAAAGTTGGTTTGAGTAATTGATCTAACGATCGTTCGACGGATTGATTGATATTGATTTAAAGTTCTCACTCTTACCAACACGTCTCGGTAAGTATAACCCTCTTTCGTTACAAAATCGTCAGTTGAGACTTGCAAATAAGTGCGGTTGTTCAAATCGCACCATGGTTTCTCACTTTGCTTTGGGCCGTAGTTGTAAGACACACAGTCTGGTTCTTTGTAGCAGCTTATTTCACACAAGTCTTGGCTGGGAAGTTTCACGCTCCTGATCACGTGATGTATAAGAACCTTATCCGTGGTTTGCGCGTTGAATTTAATTTTCCTGCAGTCCTGATCATCGGAATGGACTATGTTGAATTTAAAAACAACAGCAACAACAACAACAACAATAAGACAGTAAAATAGCATTGGTGAGTCACTGTGACGACACGAATCTCATTAACGTAAACTACTAAAGCAGTAAACATAGCTATGATTGTTCTTGGAGGCACAATGTTCTCCTCAATATTTAAAGTTGTAAACAGTAAGGCAGTTCTAGAAACTGGCGCATTCTTAAATTAAACTCCTCTAGATTTACAACGGTTAGCGATCTGTATTTGCTGTCTAAAGGAAGTCTGCCCGAGGACATTATTAAGTCCAATGAAGGGCTAAGTCTAACGATTTGCTAGTAAGCGTCGTCCATTATCGTACGTGAGGCGGGCCTAAGGAGATGTGTAAACTGTGCGGGTCACATTTAGTCCCCTAACAGTAGGCCGTTTGCCCTGTGGCGATAATGTTGTACTTGCTTTAGACGGCAAAACTCTTTAGCCACATCAATCTAGGGCTTAGACGTGCAATGGACTAGACATCTCTAGCTGCTGGTGTCGTCATTTGTCCTGAACTTTGATGTAGCTAAAGACTTAGAAAAAAAATTGTTGAAATCTGGATGTGCCATTCCGCGCTCTACAAAATTGAAGTACATCCAGGACATTGCTATTTGCGAGCAAAACATGGCCACGAGGAGAGAGAATAACATGAGTTCAAGCGCTGATCGTGAGTAGAATTTCCTTGTTTTATCAATTTTAGGCGTTCTCGGCTTAGCTAAGTATCAGAACTGTCTGTGATTCGCT